CCTGGTACTAAGCACACAGGCATCTTGTTAAAGTTATCTTATCTTAGCCAGCGCCATATAGATAGATTATATCTATATTGCGCTGATCTTAGGTATCTGAATGGTGGAGGTAAACAATTGTGACATCACTTACGCGACTCTGGGATTTGTAGTCTTTCTAGTTACGTATTTTTCATAGTCTTATATTTCAACAGTTTTACGACAAACTGTGACTTTTTTGACATGGAAATGATTTTTTAAGATTGACAAACATCATATGTGTAATTCATGGCACAATTCAAACGGGATCGAAAGATAAGTTTTCTCTCCCCATTGACTTCAATGCATAATTTTTCCGAAATAAGGTCCCATACCCCGGAAGTAAGTGGGAGGGACTTCGCCACTCTATTATCGCGGACATTATGACAAGTTCCGCCCGCTGTGAAACTTTTCTTGTTTCCATAGCAACAACAACTTCCTGTCAACAGCGTGAACTCGCCTTCAAAATAAAAGCATGCCAAATTACACTTAAGACATACAACGGCAACGAAAGTAACAAACACAATGCAATATCATTTTCAATGTCAAAGAACACAAATTGGGTTCACAGGTGTTGTTTTGTGTGGTAGAGGGTCGCTGTCATTGATGCGTTTTGCACCCTGGGCCGATGTTTTGATATTCCGCTGAAGTATACGCTGTGACGTAATAACTCTTTTTTTTTCTTTTTTTGAGGGAAGGGGTGGGGGTTAGAGGGCCTAGGTATAAAGCTCACGGCTCGCCACTGGTCCTACTAATATAAAAACATGATTACGATTTGAAACAAGTTTAACCCTCCTGTTGTGCTCGTGTCAAATCTGACCGATTTACTACTTTCATCAATCATAACCTTTTTGTTTTACATTCGATTGCATTAAGGCTTTATGATATCCTTCACAGTAGACATTTAAGCAATAGCTCACGACAGGTGCCGCCAGGGATTTTGGGCCCCATGAAAAGATATCACATTGGTTACTTAAACATTTTTTTCTTAATGTTCTAAAATAGTTTGGGCCCCTGTCAGTCACGGGCCCTTAGAATCGTCCTAACTTTTCACCCCCTTACGGCGCCCCTGTCGTGGTATATGCTCAGTATATCACAGCTAAGGGGCGTGGTTCGTTTAATAAAACGGTTACCAAGTGTGGCAATATGAAAGAAAAATACACACTCTAATTTAAATAGTTTTTATGAGTAAATAATGATGTTCAAAATAAAATAGTCCCTCCGTTGCCTTCTGCAAAAAACATGCGAGTGCGAGGTGGTTGCTATGCAACAACACTAACAGCTAGCGAACATATTAGACAGAGAGCGTTGATCGATTATTTGGCTATTTATTTACATTCATTTGTATGTTGCCATTTATTTTGCACCCACTGAAAAACTGTCCAGCATCAGTAGAATGGCTTATGTGGTTACTTGTATAGGTTGAGGTTGTTCTAGGCTGTTGCTTGGCGTGGCGAGAATATTGCTCCACTTTCTCCGTTCCCCGAGATTCGGCTTCCAGTAGCTCTGGAGAGAGCTTTCGTACCTGTGGCCACTAACAGTCATAATTTCTCTGCTTTGTTTCAAGACCCGCATCTGGGGCCTCATTTATAAAGGGATATACGCTCAAAAAATGGCGTACGCCAGTTTCTACGCAATGTTTGCGATTTATAAAATACTAACTTGACGGGAAAATGTGCTGTCCTCCACGCAAACTCTAACCCATGCGTACGCACTAAGCACACAAACGGGAGAGACGAGAAACTGCGACACCGTTGGCAGAAGGAAGAATGGAGAGAAATATGTAGAAATAATACCATAAATAAAATGTTACCTCTCATTTATCAAATATGAAGAATTCATTTTCAAACATTGATTAAAGCCAATCTTAAAATGATTAAACAAACGCCTGTTTGAGACTCCTCAGTGCACACAAAAACATAACTTGGAGAAATAAATAAATACGGATATGCTATTTAAAACCACCTCGAATATGTTGTGTTAATGTTATGAAATGTTTTCTCATACATGATGCGGTAAGCAGAAGGACAGAATTACGTCTAAACTGACGCCGTTTTGCATTTCTATAGGTTGTAGATACGAGCATGGTTTTATATACTATCACGTTTAATCGTGTTTTATGCCGTTTGCCAAGACTTGATAAGTCGCTCGTAAAACACAGGAGGTATGGAAACTAAGAACACCGTGGTAAATTGTACAGCTAATATAACACAACACATTGTATTTCCTTTAACTGGTGGATTATGGATATATAGTTGCTGATCGACAGCTGGAACACAAACCACCAAATACAACAAAAATAATTCAGATCCAGTCGTCATGACTCCACTCCGGAGGGATTCCCCGATCATTTCTTAGTTTCTCATCAAGGGGGGGGTCTCCTGTCCCCGGTACAAACACACTGCCTGAGGAAGGTTATGTGTATTTTTTTTGTCATTAACTTTTTTCGGACCACTTATTTATTTATTTTGGTGACGATCCGACCTCCATGCTGCTACTCTGGTTCAAACTGCATCCACCAAACAATATGATTTATCTCCACCTCCCCAAAATAACCAAAATCTGACACGGTGCGAGATGTCTTTTTTAGCTGTTCTATCGTAATTTCCTGCGATCTTCTTCATGCAGTCAGTCAGAATGAATGAATGAATGGGCGTTTCTTTGACTATGTATAGGCAAATATGGGCGTTACGAGTCGATTGTGATTTATAAAGGGAAACAGGCGTAGGGAGTGCCGTACGCACTTCCCTCGCCGGTACGCAATGTTTTGTGAATCGGAAAATGGCGGAACATTTATGTACCTATTTTTGTGCTTTGTACTACGTAAGCAACCTTCCTACGTCAATCCTACGCAAGGCGTTATAAATGAGGCCCCAGAAAGCTTTTGAATGGTGGTACTTTTCCAGTTGGTCTACTACCTGCTCTTCACGTAGCTCTGCATGTCGTCGTTTAGGTGCTTTTTTTTCTGGAGATAGGCACTCGCACTCCTCAATCCACTCCTCCATAGTAAGACCACCCCGGAGGTCGAAGTTAACCTTAAATGTTTCCATCTTAAGCTTTGTAAGTTTGTTTTGTAACGGACGAAATGTAATAATATTTATAAAACGGACAAGTCAAATCAAGCAATCTGATTGGTCGATAGCGTTTTTGCGGACCTCTTTGATTACAGATTTGAAAACATCGTTGCTTGCTTTAAAAGTAGCACAATTCATTATGTCAAACCTTGGAAAGTATCTAAATATCCCTGCCCTAATGCCAAAGTAACTGGCAACTGAATATGTTTTGCCGTTTGATGTCTATGTCTGGACCGTTGCGTAAAAAGGAGGGTTTCTGCCCTGTTACTTCTCCGCGGTTTTCTTGTCCCAGTTTGTATACAGTTTTTCTCAGACGCGGAGGGATACTGACTTGTTGTGAAAAGTAACTACAATTCTAACCGTGGTATACGCTGATTATATCACGGCTAAGAACCAATCAGATTGCTTGATTTGACGTGTCCGTTTTATAATTGAACATATACAATTGCTGATCACCACTTTCATTGAATTTTGGATGATTTAGTCAACTTTGTAACACCCATGCTGTTCCCGGTCCATAAAGAAATGGAATTAGTAACCATCCGGATCAGATAAAACACACACACAAACACCCACACCCACACCCACACACACCCACACACACACACACACACACACACACACACACACACACACACACACACACACACACACACACACACACACACACACACACACACACACACACACACACACACACAAACACATACACTAGATGTGTTTTCCCCTCCTTATGTGGCCATCTCCCCATGTGAATCACACCTGGCACACACACACAAACACACACACACACACACACACGCACACACACACACACACACACACACACACACACACACACACAGAACAATTTGATACATTTCCCGCTCTTATGTGCCCATCCCCCCACATGGATCACACCTGGCACACGCAATACATGTTCAGTGTCTATTCTTTGTATATTTACTGCAGTTGTTCATGTATACCAGTAATCTGATACAATATTTACAGTTTGAAAGGGTGTTAAATTACATTTGGTGATGATTAATGCTTTTTGTGTTAATGTAATAGCAGTTCAAACAGGACGGGTCAAATTTGACCGTGAACACTAAAGTAAGGGGGGGAAAAAGAACACATCAGGAGGGTTAACTTTCTATGTCATATACAAAGTAAAGAGTTGATATTTACTAAAAACCTAGAAGCTCAACTCACCGGTGTTTGGCAGAGTCTCTTCTCCGTTGTCGAGAAAGACTGATGAACCTCAACTGGAAACGTGGAAGAATGGAAACTTCTCTCGATAGCAGCTCTGCTGTCGCTCTGACAAATGCTCGTCTGAGGACTGAGATGTTGAGGCTCTCCTGTCTTTCCAGTGTTGTTTAACCTCTATTGAAGCTTGTTTGTGAAGTCTTATTGCCTCCTGGTATGAGCATGATTTTAGTGCTGCATGTAACAGAAATCAATTCAGTATTTTAGTAGCAATGATGGACCATATGACTTTTTACTTTTTTATTGCCAGCCGCAATAGCGTTGTTGGAATCATTTTCACCTCGTGAGTCTGTGTGTGTTTCTGTGTGTCTGTAGGAAGATTTTGTGAAGGTGTACAACCATGCAAAAATGCTCTCACGAAAATATAACTGTGTGTAGATGAGATCAAAATGAAGGTATATTTAAAAAAAAAAAAGGGTTCCAGGTCAAATGTACCAGAAGTCATGTGGTAGGAATTGGAAAATAAACTGTTCCCCGCCCCATTTTATTTCCCAGGTAGCATCTAGTTGGTGTTCTTAGTTAAAGAAAGTCATTTTAATGGTCAGTCATACATCCAATGCAGCCCCTTCACAGTTCTCTGAAACAATCAACTGTCAATCTCAACTTTGGTTCACAGATTCAACTCTTTTTTAACCTCTTGTGTATTCAAAAGTCTTTATTTTTCTCACAGCTTCAGCTCAAGACCCTGAAGATTAAAAAAAATGAACTTGCAACTTATATTATCATCTTTTACAGTTACTAGAACAGTTTTTACATAAAAAAAAGTCAATCCCACATATAATGTCAGTAAAAAACAGTCCCTTTACAGTGCTGAAGCTCTGCAACACTCTTATCAGTGAAAGGTTAATCTCATTGTTTGTCCTGTAATGTTTGACCTTTTTATATCATTCTTGTGTTTGATTCTTTCCTAAAGTTGTTGCTGAATCAGGCCAGGACGTTGAGTGTTGTTTACCGTCTGTGAATCCCAAAAACACGCTCCCCTGCCTTGTTTGTGTGTTGAAATGCTGATATCTGGTGGCTATAGGAGGGAAATAAATCCAACCTGTGAATACCGACAAGTTTCAAAATAAAACACTCTGACAAAAAGTTTCTTCTCATGCACAAGATTTTACTTGAGTAATACTGTACAACAGATTAGTTTAATTCATCACAAAATATGTTTTCATTCATTAACATAGACTTAATAAATCAACGTTTGTCTTTTATGAATGAAGAGGAAGACCAAGTGCAGGACAATGTCCACTAGTTAAAACTATCTGTAAACCTGTTAAGAAACCCTTTCAATTATTGCAGATTTTAATTTTTTTTTTTTTTATTTAAGTTGCAGTGTCCTTGAGTAAAAATGTTCTAATTTACTAAACAATTATTGATATTTTTAGGTTGAGATGGCACATGGTTATTTACAGATACAGACCCTGACCTGCTGTAAAATGGTTGGTTGACAAAGATTCTTATGACGTTTTTTTATAAAAGTAAAAAAAATACTTTGTCCATATCAACGTCTTTATAGATTATCTGGCATCGATTATACCCACACTCAAATAATGTACAACTCAAATAAGTAAGATCTTAAAGGCAAACTGAAATATACAGAACAATTGCATCCCTAGTCCAGCAATAAATCAATGTTAATTATCACTACATTGTTCGGCATAATAAAAACCACTGATCAAATACTCTTTCTCTTCAAGAAGCCTTAAAATGATGACAAGTCAAACAAAAGCAACTTTTTTTTCGTTAATTTTCTAACCAAAGTATGAAACACAAAATATGTAAGTTTAGAACACAAATGAGAAATGATAAATCAAATATAAGAATGAATAAGCACTTTTTTTTTCTTTATCTATAACACATTGGCATACCAGTATTGACCGCTATGCCTATTTTAGTATGAACATTTTGTTTGGCATGTTTATGTGTAAATATATATACATGTATACACTGTATGTACACATATTGTTGGCAATGCTTTATTTGCATTGCCCAACATGCTGATCTCAAAAATCAAGCGGTTTGATTGACAGTACGTCTGACGATGATCAGAGGGGCAGCATTATTGCCTCCATCATTATTACAGGGACTTAATATTGGGTAGATTTTCCCGTTGAAGCAGCAGCCAGTAAAGGAGTAGATCAGAGCGGCAGTATATACGTCATAAAAGGAGACCAGACCCTTCTCATAATCCACAAACACCCCCACTTTCTGAGGCCGAGACTTCAGAGAGAGACTGACTGACGGAGAATCAAGAGCTTTGTACTCATTTCCATTTCTCAAACATATAGTCCAGTAACCGTCCTGAGGCCTCATGTTGAACTCTCCCTTCCTGTTGATCGACTCTCTGGCCACTCCTATATTCCATTTAGGCTTCCCTTGAACATGAACCTCGTAGTAAAATCTGCCTGAAGAGAAACTCTGCCCTCCCAAAACAAAATTATAATGAGAAAATCTCTCTGGGTTGTCTGGGAGATTCTTCTTTACATTACCAAGACTCACTTGTTTCCTATCAAGAGACAGGATGAGTTCAGGGTGTGCTGTATCAGGATCAAGAGTCACATCCACTGCGTACTTCTGGACCCTCTTCAGCTCAGCCTCACCGAGCAGCTTCTTCATCTCTTTATTAAGGGTCTCCTCCAGCTGGATCAAGGCCCCCTCCACAGCTTTCTCATATGAAGGTACATGGACGTTGACCTTTGTCCAGTACTTTGTGGGTGGAAAAGCTTTCAGTAACGGGAAGCTTCGGAGAACATGGAGGTGGTCTTCTGAGCGTGTGACCTGCCCCACGTCAGTGTTTCTCTTCTTCAGATCAGATATTTCCTGTTCCAGCTCTTTGATGAGGCCTTCAGCCTGTTTCTGTGTTGTTGTCACCTTCTCTCCTATTGTTTTGTAGAGCTCATTCAGGCCTCTCTCAATAAACTTGTTCAGAGAAGTGAAGACCTGAACACCTTCTGATAGCTCCATTTGCGCATTTTCTGTACTACACTTTACTGAGTGTCTGAACTCCTCAATCTTTACTCGTCTCTTCTGGATCATCTCCTGAATGTTAGCCTCTGTCTTCACCAGTTCAACCTTCTTGTCTTCATATTCATCTTTCAGAGGAACAAACTCATGCATCTTGTGGTCTAAAGCAGAGCAGTGCAGACAGACAAATGTCTGGTCGGTCTTACAGAACAGCTCCAGAGGTTTATCGTGCTTCGGACACATCCTGTCTTCCAGGTTCTCCACAGGGTCGATCAGCTGATGTCTTTTCAGACCGGACACATTGAAATGAGGCTCCAGGTGAGTCTCACAGTAGGAGGCCAGACACGCCAGGCAGGACTTCAGGGCCTTCAGTTTAGTTCCAGTGCAAAAGTCACAGGGAACATTTACTGGTTTGAACGATTGTTGCTGTGACTGTTTGCGGTTGGCTTTCTGTTGAGCCGACTGTCTGAACTCACCAACCATCTCAGATAACAAAGTGTTGACCCTCAACAAAGGTATTTTTTTAAAACCCTCATTACACAAGGGACATCTGTAATTAATTTTCCAGTGTGCAGTGATGCAGGTTTTGCAGAAGTTGTGTCCACATGGTGTGCTGACTGGATCCCTGAACACATCCATACAGATGGCGCACCGAAACTGCTCTTCGGATAGCAGGCAGCTGACAGAAGACATGTCTGAGAACACAATTCAAAGTATTATTAAAGAAGACATATTATGCGAATTTAACGATTTATAATTGTATTTAGTGTCTCTACTGTGACATGTCTCCATGCTTTAATGTTCAAAAAGCTCTTTATCTTTCTCATACTGCCGTGCTGCAGCACCTCTTTTCACCCTCTGTCGGAAACCAGAGCTCAGTCTGCTCTGATTGGTTAGCTGGCCAACTCTGTTGTGATTAGTCAACCGATTAGAGATGTCCCGCCCCTTAGCCAATGTGTTGGAGCTCTAGCCAATAGAGGCGCAAGTCTTACATGGTGATGTCACTATGTTCAGGAATTAAACAAATAAGTCCAATGGAGGCGTTTCAGGCAGTGGGGGAGTGTGTGGGAGAGAAACTCCCTCTGGAGGGAACACAGGGACTTTAACCTTAGCAGACCATTTACATGCACACAAACCGATATGACACACTACAGGAAAGGAAAAAAAACCCAAAGCATATTATAGGGCCTCATTTAAATATTTTGTTACACACATATTTCAAGTCAAAGTCAAATCTGTATAACGAATAAAGTATGATTACTACATTAAAGAAAACTTTGTAGGTATTTTTAACACAACTGAAAAGTTACTTCAACTGATGTAACTTCCTGTTTGTTTATAGCTGTACATTTTGTGTTAATCCTGGTTGTTTAAACTCAGTAAATATGATCAGCTGTACTCACCCATATTTGAGTAAAGTGCTGAGAAAGAACTAACAAACTCAGTTTAATCTTCCTTCAGACAGAAAATCCAGAGACGTGTCTCCACTGCAGCTCTGACAAACGATAAGTTTCATTTATGGAAAGTGACGTTACAGCTCTCCTCCCTCCAGTGTTGCTCCTCCTCTTAGAGCAGCTCTGTGTTTCTCCTTCAGGGTTAGTCAGGATTAAAGTTACAGACATCTGGCACAAGATAGGTTTAACATTTTGAAATACTTTTTACATATTTTCTTAAAGCCACTAGGACGGTTGTCTCAAAACAATATATATCTTAGATTCAGAAAAAACCCACAGTGTTCTTCAGATCAGTGCAAAGTCGAGCTCACTGTTTTCCCTGCAATGTTTAACCGTTTCGTCTCATTCTTATGTTTGCCTTTTTCTGTAGTTGTTGCTCAATCATACCAGGAAGTAGTCTTCTGTGCAGTCTGTAAACGCCTTTCACAAACTCTTCTCTCTATGTGTGATGTAATGCTGATAGTGGCCAAAGCAAGGTAAACTAAAAACAAATCCACAGTTTTAACAGTAAGACAAAACCTAACTTTTTATGACACACAGTTTAAATAGAAAGCTCATAAAACAAATGATAAATAACTTTTCATAAAACATCAAAAATATAAAAAGAAAAACTCCCATTATCCCGTCAGGAGAGAGGTTTAAGCAGAGGGCCGGTGTTACAAAAAGAGGCAGCAGGATATTAGAGATGGCAGTGGGAAAGCCATAAAGAAAAGTAGCGTCATGCTACTATGATGCTGAATATGTTACAAAAGTTATCACTCAATGCTGTGACAAAAGAGTTCAGCTTTACATTCAAAAGTTTGGATTTAAAAGAGCTGAAGTTTATAAAGATCAGACGGTCAGAGTTTAGAGACGGCCTCCCCTGCAGCAGCGAGTAGAGACAGGGACTTTGTTATATTGCAATCAGCCTCGATAACAAGCTTCCTAATCACTCGCTCTCATCTCGCCAGACACGTCACCGGCTGAGATAAAAGATTTAGAGAAAACCTCAAAATGATCATGAATGACTTTGTATTCACCTCCGATTCAAAACTTGATTTTCATCACAAGCTCTAATGGCGCGTTTCCACTACAGCGCGGAGCGCGGTTTAAGAGGGCTGTGACGTCGTTTTTGGTTGCGTTTCCACTTGGCCTAGTACCGGCCGGCGGGTCCTAATTCACAGTTTTTCTGGCCTCATAAAATCGTGGTTCTAGGGCCAGAGACAACGAGGCTGAGTCGGGCTGAGTATGCTAAACTAGAGAGAGAATCGCTGGCAAGGGGGCTACAACTACAACAAGATGGACATATTTGACCGTGATTTAATTGTAATACACGTTTCAAAATGATGCCGAAGTAACAACATACTGATACCGGTTAGTAAAAACCATGAATTAATGCTTTGACAAGTCTGCAGACAGACGGCAGGCGAAAAACCTTTTAAAATGCGTGTTTTCTAAATGGAGATTGGCTAAGCTAACGCAGTATATGCTCCGACCGTCCACACTCACAACAACGGCCTATACAGACATAAATAAAGCAGCGACTGTATTCGCCATGACACAGGCAGTCTGTGGTTTGTACTTGTTTAACTTTTGTCTAGTTTCTGAACATATATGAGGAGCTGTGAGCTCTGAGTGCTAACAGCTAACGGCTGTGTTGTTTTTCTGGGGTTCTCATTGAAGATGACGTCACGGCTCCGCCTACACTGCGTTACTATAGATACTACCCCAGTTCCTAAACTGTAATGGAAATGCGCCATAAAGTGAGCCAGTCCTAACGAGGCCTAGCCATACCAAGTGAGGCCGTGTAGTGGAAATGCGCCATAAGTGTGTGTGTGTGTGTGTGTGTGTGTGTGTGTGTGTGTGTGTGTGTGTGTGTGTGTGTGTGTGTGTGTGTGTGTGTGGGTGTGGGTGTGGGTGTGGATGTGTGTGTGTGTGTTTTATCTGATCCGGATGGTCTATTGCAGCGGTTTTCAAAGTGTGAGGCGCGCCTCCCCTGGGGGGCGCCAGAGAGCTTCAGGGGAGGCGCAGCGTGAGAAAAAAATAAAGGGAAACAGTGAAATCTAGCTCGTTAACTTCAGCTAACTTTATGCGAGCGGCAACATGGATCGATTTTTAGTGAAGTTACCTAAAGTGAGAGAGGAGACAGCGTCTGGCCACCCCAGTTGGCAGCTTTGTTTTGAAATAAAAGTTGTGGCTCATCGGACATTTATCAGAGAAAATCCCTGATGTCCGAGTGCAAGTGAATGCAGCACAAGACGCGAGCCTTGTAACCCTGGCGCGAGCGAGGAAATGTGATTGGCGGCGATTTCAATTGAACGGGCGGCAGAAAACGAGAAGCATTCGGACCCAAGTACACGGAAGGAATGAGGTATTTGCGGTCTACAATGACAGAGAAGAGACTGTCACGTTTGGCTGTACTCAGCATTGAATCAAAACGCACTAAAGCTTTGGATCTTAATACGTTTGTGAGGCGTTTTGCTGAACAAGATGGTAATCGCCGCATTCAGCTGTAATAGGCATGCCAACTTGATGCTCTGCTCACCGATGACTCGAGCATAAAAAACTGTTAAGATGATGACCTTACGTGTGTACATATATTTTTTTCTTTGTGGGGGTCTGCCCTGAGAAAGTCAAATAAGATGGTGTGTAAAACTACACTGCCCAGACAAAAATAAGTAACCACTTTGATTTAACTAGGCCAGTCCCTTATGAAACAAAAATATATTGTAATATATTGGTAAATATAATACAATATATTGGATCATACATTTCCATATATGGGAAAGTAGTCCTTATATTTTTAAATATATTGCAATATATGCATGGACCATGTATGGCTATATATTGATACATATAAAAAAAATATATTGCAATGAAAACAAAACTGCACTATACATTTATATGTAATAGTTTTATTGAAACACTCATTTATCTTTCATGAGTTTACATAAAATTGAACAGATATTCATAAACAGTTATCTCACTTCGTTTTGTATAGTTACCCACTTTATATATGAACATATGTTTGATGGTAGCCTACATATAAAAAAAGTACAAATTGTCCATTGAATGATGGAAAATAATATACAGTTTATAAATATATATAGACACACACATATATGCACGCATATATATATGCACGCATATATATATTCATATATATATATATATATATAAATATATATATATGCATATATGCACGCATATATATATGAATATATGCACGCATATATATCTATGCATATATTACGGCCGACCGGCTATTTGGAGTGGAACGCAGCCCATCCACGGCAGACAGCCCAAACAGTATTCGAATGCGCCACTTCCGGCTGATTTCGGGGAGCCCCCCCCCCCTCTCCAGCAATAGATTGATCTGATTGGCAGATTCAAATCTGCGTTGCTGCCTCTGTCTGTTGATTCTGTCGCTGAGTGTCAAAGAGAAAGCATTCATCAGGTGCTTCGAAACGGAAAATTAAAAAGAAACGAGAGGAAAATACAGCACCAGAGTCAGGTATGTGTGTGAGCATTTAAAACTATTTTAAATTGAAATAATTCTGCATGTACACTATAAGTAGTCTAGTTGCTTAATCCGTATGTCCCGTCTCTCGGCACTACACCAGTTACACCAGCTAACGTTAGTTAAATTAGCTATGTTAGTTCCCTCGTGTATGAGTGTATAACCGGTCCGCAGCTTTGTGAACATTCAATTTCGAAGATTTTCGATTTTACAGTCAACTGAAGTCGACCCAAAACAGCCAAAAATAGCGGACCTTTAGATCGCTAACATTTTAGCATAAGTCAATGAAGTTTAACATAGCGAAAACTAGCCCCACGGCTAACGGACATTTTCTGACTGGTGACGACGATGAGCTAGTTAAGTAATGTAACCACAGTTAGTCTATGTCTTGTAAATTCCCCTTGTTCTCCTTGATCTGCATTATATCGTTCGTGTTTTAGTCAGGCACATTTAGGGACAGCTAAAGTAGTTCAGCTACGGGTCTTCGAGCTGGTTACACATGTGCGTTCAGGACATTATTGCGCATCATCACATGCATAATTACCATCGTCACAGAGAGAATGCGTTCGTGAAGAATGTGAGCATATATGCAGATCTTTAGTGTTGGTAATGTTATAAGATTGTATGCACAGTGTCCTGCTCAGTCAGTGTGTTAATGAGTCTTGATGTCCCGTTTTTAGTTTCTATGTTGTTCAGGAATTGAGCTAATGCTAGCTAGTTAGCTAAGTTAAGCTATGATAGTGTGTGGATGAGATGCTAACTTAGCTTTTATTAGCCGTGTGTTTGCAACGTGTCTAATGTGTTTTAGCAACAATTAGTATTGCTGTTGCTTATTATTAATAACCATCGTCTGGTTAGTTATTGTAATTTGAACCTTATTTCTATTTCTGTGTATTTTGCAGAAACCATTCATTCATTCTCTACTCTACGTTAGGCTATGTGTTGTGGACTAATGCATTCAAGTTAGTTCACATTTTAGTTGTTATTGCCCCTGCTGACAATTGTGTGGATAATATGTAGCCTACAGTCAATGGCATTTCACATTTTGCTCTCCAGTGTATGTTATTTTAATGTTGACCCATAATACTATATATCTATATATTTTACAGGAGCATTGTTGAAATTCATAGGTCGAACTAAGCCTGCAGAACCACAAGTCAAGAGGACAGAGGAGCCAGATAGCAGTGGTGACTGAGACAGAATAAATAAGGAGAGAGGGCCCATGCAGAGGCAGACATCAGTAGTGAGGAATCAGACCCAAAATATACGAGGACAGAGGAGCCAGATCGCAGTGGTAAGGAACGCACTGTCATTTAATTTCACTGTCATTTTACTTTTCACATATCACTTTATTCACTATTCAGCTTAGTTATCCTTGCCATGAAGGATTGAATGGATGAATGTTCTATATTATTTTAATGACAGATTGAACCACAGCAATATTGTTTTAGAGATTTTATATGTTTAACTGCTATGCCTGTCATCTCTGCTCTGTGTCATTGTGTTGTCTCCTGGGTTCTGTAGTGCCCGGAGTCTGTCTTTTTATTTTTTTCCTCCCAAACCCCATCCCCTCAGGACGCCTTTTGCCTCCTGTCAGGTCATCATTGTAATAAGAATTTGTTCTTAATTGATTTTCCTGGCTAAATAAAGGTTCTACTACTATTTATTCAGTTATTTTATTACTGGTACTGCTAATTGCATTATGCGTATTGTTGTATATTGTATATACGTATGTATTTACTACTACTACTTACAAAATCGAGGGTTGTAGCTTTGTGTCAGTACATATTTCAGGGTTTT